TTACAGTTTTTCATCACTGAGAATGATGTCAGCTGTAGGTTTGTCATATGTTTTATTATGTTGAGGTAGGTCCTCTCTTTGCCCGCTTTCTGGAGAGATTTTATAATAAACAGGTATTGAATTTTGTCAAAAGCTTTTTCTGCATCTGTTGAGATTACCATATGGTTTTTATCCTTCAGTCTGTTAATATGGTGTATCACATTGATTGTATAATGAAAAATCCTTGCATTCCTGGGATAAACCACTCTTGATCATGGTGTGTGATCCTTTTAATGGGCTGTTGTATTCTGTTTGCTAGCATTTTGTTGATGATTTTTGCATCTGTGTTCATTAGTGATATCAGCCTGTAGTTTTCTTTTTTGTGACATCTTTGTCTGGTTTTGGTATCACGGTGCTGGTGGCCTTGTAGAATGAGTTTGGGAGTGTTCCTCCCTCTGCTATATTTTGGAAGAGTTTGAGAAGGATAGGTTAGCTCTTCTCTAAATGTTTGATAAAATTCACTTGAGAAGCCATCTGGCCCTGGGGTTCTGCTTGTTGGAAGATTTTTAATCACAGTTTCAATTTCAGTGCTTGTGATTGGTCTGTTCCTATTTTCTATTTCTTCCTGGTTCAATTATGGAAGGTTGTACTTTTCTAAGAATTTGTCCATTTCTCCCAGGTTGTCCATTTTACTGGCATATAGATGCTTTTAGTCGCTAATGATCCTTTGTATTTCTGTGCTGTCAGTGTTACTTCTCCTTTTTAATTTCTAATTCAGATGAGTTGAGTCTTCTCCCTTTTTTTCTTGATGAATCTGGCTAATGGTTTATCAATTTTATTTATCTTCTCAAAGAACCAGGTTTTAGTTTTATTGATCTTTATATCACTTCCTTCATTTCTTTTTCATTTCTTTCTGATCTGATCATTATGATGATTTTCCTTCTGCTAACTTTGGGGTTATTTTGTTCTTCTTTCTCTAATTGCTTTAGGTGTAAGGTTAGGTTGTTTATTTGAGATGTTTCTTGTTTCTTGAGGTAGGATTGTATTGCTATAAACTTCCCTCTTAGAACAGCTTTTGCTGCATCCCATAGGTTTCAGATCTTCATATTTTCATTGTGATTTGTTTCTAGATATTTTTTGATTTCCTCTCTGATTTCTTCAGTGATCTCTTAGTTATTTAGTAGAGTATTTTTTAGCCTCCATGTGTTTGTATTTTTTGCAGTTTTTTTTTTCCTGTAATTGATATCTAATCTCATAGCGTTGTGGTTGGAAAAGGTGCTTCATACAATTTCAATTTTCTTAAACTTACCGAGACTTGATTTGTGACCCAAGATGTGATCTATCCTGGAAAATGTTCTGTGTGCACTTGAGACGAAAGTGTATTCTTTTGGTATGGATGGTATGTTCTATAAATATCAGTTAAGGCCATCTGGTCTAATGTGTTATTTAAAGCTCGTGTTTCCTTATTTATTTTCTGTTTGGATGATCTGTCCATTCGTGTAAGTAGGGTGTTAAAGTCCTCCACTATCATTGTGCTAGTGTCAATTTCCCCTTTTATGGCTGTTAGCATTTGCCTTATGTATTGAGGTGCCCTTATGTTGGGTGCATAAATATTTACAATTGTTATATCTTTTTCTTGGATTGATCCCTTGATCATTATGTAGTGTCTTTCATTGCATCTTGTAATCGTCTTTATTTTAAGGTCTATTTTGTCTGATAGGAGTATTGCTATTCCAGCTTTCTTTTGATTTCCATTTGCATGGAGTATCTTTTTCCATGCCCTCACTTTCAGTCTGTATGTGGCCCTAGATGTGAAGTGGGTCTCTTGTAGACAGCATATATATGGGTCTTGTTTTTGTATCCATTCAGCCAGTCTGTGTCTTTTGGTTGAGGCATTTAATCCTTTTATATTTAAGGTAATTATTAATATGTATGTTCCTATTACCATTTTCTTAATTGTTTTGGGTTTGTTTTTGTAAGTCTTTTCCTTCTCTTGTGTTTCATGCCTAGACAATTTCCTTCAACATTTGTTGTAAAGCTGGTACTGTGGTGCTGAATTCTCTTAACTTTTGCTTATCTGCAAAGCTTTTGATTTCTCCGTCGAATCTGAATGAGATCCTTGTTCGGTAGAGTAATCCTTGTTGTAGGTTTTTCCCTTTCATCACTTTAAATATATCTCCCTTCTGGCCTATAGAGCTTCTGTTGAAACCTCAGGTGTTTATCTAATCGAGATTCCCTTGTATGTTATTTGTTGCTTTTCCCTTGCTGCTTTTAATATTTTTTCTTTGTGATTAATTTTTGTTAGTTTGATTAGTATGTGTCTCTGCGTGTTTCTCCTTGGGTTTATCCCGTTTGGGACTCTCTGTGCTTCCTGGACCTGATTGACTATTTCCTTTCCCATGTTGTCTTCCCAGTTTTTTAACATATATGTGCAATTTTCCTATAATGCATTGCCATTTTACCATTCCTATATCATTACCTTTTCCACATACAATTAATTGACTCTAGAAACCCTCATTTTAATGGCTAACACACACAGATGCACCCTCAGTTATATAAGTATTATATTATTCTACTGTGCAAGCTGCTTCTAGATTTTTTTCATATTCTAATTAAGTTGTTATATGCATTTATATTTTCTGTGTTTCCTAAGGTAATTTCCTAGGTGAGGAATTACTGCCAAATTGGTTTTCAGAAAGGTATGTCCCTATTTCATTCCCAACAGTAGTATATGAAATGACCTCTTTAACTGAGAGAATATCTAGCTTTTGGGGTATTTTTTGGATCTGATAATTCTTGTTCTTATTCACACTGGAGATGGGGGAAAAGCATTTTTCTCTGTAATACACACCGGCATACACGACAAATGCCTGCCTGGCTAGAAAATAGTTTTAAGATTGCTTATTGCTGCTTAAGTTTGTAATTTATTGGTATGTTTATTACCTATGAACATTTTTTTGGGGGAAAGTCTCTATATGTTATTTACCCCTTTTCCTCTCTTGAATTTTTGTTTATTTTTATGCTAATATATATGAGTTCTTTATAATAAGTACATCAAATGTTACCCATTGTGTTTGTTGCAGTTTTTTTTTAATGTTAATTTGCTGTATTTTGACACACTTATTAGAAGCTTGTCAGAATGGTCATCATCAAAAATCTAGAAACAATAAATGCTGGAAAGGGTGTGGAGAAAAGGGAACACTCTTGCACTGCTGGTGGGAATATGAATTGGTACAGCCACTATGGAGAACAGTATGTTGGTTCCTTAAAAAACTACAAATAGAACTACCATATGACCCAGCAATCCCACTACTGGGCATATACCCTGAGAAAACCATAAGTCAAAAAGAGTCATGTACCAAAATGTTCATTGCAGCTCTATTTACAATAGCCAGGAGATGGAAACAACCTAAGTGTCCATCATCAGATGAATGGATAAAGAAGATGTGACACATATATACAATGGAATATTACTCAGCCATAAAAAGAAACGAAATCGAGCTATTTGTAATGAGGTGGATACACCTAGAGTCTGTCATACAGAGTGAAGTAAATCAAGAGAAAGACAAATACCATATGCTAACACATATATATGGAATTTAAGAAAAAAAAAATGTCATGAAGAACCTAGGGGTAAGACAGGAATGAAGACACAGACCTACTAGAGAATGGACTTGAGGATATGGGGAGGGGGAAGGGTAAGCTGTGACAAAGCAAGAGAGAGGCATGGACATATATACCCTACCAAACATAAGGTAGATAGCTAGTGGGAGGCAGCCGCATAGCACAGGGAGATCAGCTCAGTGCTCTGTGACCTCCTAGAGGGGTGGGATAGGGAGGGTGGGAGGGAGGGAGATGCAAGAGGGAAGAGATATGGGAACATATATATATAGGTATAACTGATTCACTTTGTTATAAAGCAGAAAGTAACACACCATTGTAAAGCAATTATACTCCAATAAAGATGTAAAGAAAAAAAAGGAAGCTTGTACTTTTGCATTGTCAAGTACATCAAACTTTTCCTTTGCAGTTTCTTCCATTGCTCTTATGCTTAGAATGTTTCCATCCTCTGGTCACCTATGTATTTAAAATACTAATGTCTCATCTGCACTGTCTTATCTTGTTCCAGTGACCTGTCTTGTAATTCCTTAGCATACTGTCTCACTTTAATTATTTAAGAAAATATTAATATTTTCTGGGGTGAATCTTCTTTCACTTCTCTTCTTGTGTGACCTTCTTCTGCCTCTTAATTTTTCTTATGGGGAATGATAAGCTTAAAACTTTGATCAATATTATACTAAATCCTTCTTATAATTTGTATTATACTTTTACATACTTATAATAATACAATTGTAAATTATAAGTCTTGATAGCATACTTTATATCAACATAATATTAAATTATATTACAAACTAAATGATAGTTACAAATTACAGTGCTATTTATTATGTATTATATACTGTACTATTTATTATTTATGTATTACATACTGTATTAAAATACGATTTTATTTATATTGTATACAAAATTTATTTTATATTTATGCTTATATTTTAAACTTACAAATTAATATTTACATTACAATAATTTTTATACTAGAATAATTTCCCATTTAAAACATGTTCATTCTTTTCCCTTTTTCTGACACATCTTTCCATTGATTCAAGATTTCATTTATGTCCATTAGTGAATCTTTCTTTCCATAGACTTTCACATTTTTTATGATGGTCATTCTGATCTATTTTGCTCTTTTGGATTATTTCTTAAAGGTTCTCTCCTACATATTTTGTAACTCGTCTTCCTAGTATATGGAAAGGCTACTCATATTTTGTTAGTTGTGTAGTTGGCCACCTAAATAAAGTCTTATCCATTTCCAAAGTACTTCTTTGGGTTTCGTGAGGTCCCTCTATGGGAAATTAGCTGCTTTTCAGTAATGGTGTATCTGTCTCCTTGCTCATCTCACATCTCATTCAAGCCCTGCGCCTGGGGCCATGGCTCACCCTTGGGTCTTGTCTCCCCAGCATGGAGGAGTGTGGGGCCATGTGCACGAGACTTGCCATCATGGTCCATGACAGCTTCCAGTGCCTGGGTTCCCCACAGCACATCAAAAAAGGTGCATTGCCATCGTTTCACTTAAATGTTTCCTGTGAATTAGTAGCTGGATGCGGTTATAACCAGAGGTCCAGGCACCTCAGGGGCACAGAAGGGGAGCTGGAGGCTGAGAGGGGAGGGGCATGTTTGTGTGTGAAACACCATCACCAGGGGTGCCCACCATCAGCTCTGCAGAGCCTGGCTTCCCCCACCACCCCACCAAGGTCTTACTGTCTTCTGCCCATGAAGACACATGCTGTCATTGTGGTGACACTGGGAGGATTGGGAATACCATTGCACAGTCAAGGTGAAACAAGGACCAAAAATATCCTCATTGATACAAAATACCACATAGAAAGATTGTTCTGACATATTCCTCACCCAGAGCGGGCCAGCAGCCAGTGCTGCACCTGGAGAAAGGTCCCTATTGATTCAAGAGGGTGAAAGATGGTCCTTGTGGTTGCTTCTTAGTTCAACTAACGGACTAGAGACTTAGCATGCTTTAATCGCTTAGATTTCTTCCTGGTTAATTGTCTTTTTTTTCCATTTACCTTTTGGAATCATAATGATTTTGTTATCAAGTTGTATGAGTGCTTTTGTGTCCCCGTATAACTATTTTTTTTAATTCAGTGTTGCCTAAGCTATTTTCAGAGTTTACAAGGCATACCATATATTACTGTGCTTTGCTTTTATTGCACTTCACAGATACTGTATTTTTTACAAGTTGAAGGTTTGTGGCCACCCTGCATTGAGCAAGTCTGTTGGCACCATTTTTCTAATAACATTTGCTCATATTCTGTCTCTGTGTCACATTTTGGTAATTCTTGTAATATTTCAAACCCTCCACCAGCAAAAAGATTATGACTCACTGAAGGCTCAGATGACAGTTTGCATGTTTTAGCAACAAAGTATTGTTTTAAATTAAGCTATGTACATTTTTTAGACATAATGTTATTGCACACTTATTAGAAGACAGTATAGTATAAACATAACTTAATGTGCACCAGGAAACCAAAAATATTGTGTCTCTCCCTTAATTGCGATATTTGCTGTATTGTGGTGGTCTGGAATGGAACCTGCAGTATCTCCAAGGTATGCCTCTAATTTCTTTTAAATTTGTTGTTTAATCTGTTCCTTTTGATGTAGAGTAATTTATTCATATATGTTGATACATCTTTTCATTTTCAGTTATTCAATGTTTTTAAAGTAAGAATTCTCAAGTAGAGATTTGTTAAATTCATATATATATTAAGTTGAAATATTTTTATTTTATGGAGAAAATACCATGAATGTTTGGATGGAGATGCCGCGTTGGGGAGTGGACGATAATTTTCCAGCAGCTGAGAGCCGGGCGCTGCTGGTTGGTCATGCTCACTGTCACTTCACGTCAATCCTTTGTCAGATAAACCTGCTGGAAACTGTTCTCAACATGGGCTCTGCTCACCTTTAATGAGGGTCATCAAAAGAAAAATAATATTTCACGCTCCCTCGCCTTTATGAATGCTCACATAAAGTTTTATAGCCCTTGCCTGATTGTTGGGTGATGTATGTCTGAGTTTAGCTACTTGCCTTTCAAGAGGTTTGCCAACGACGTCTCTGGAAGGGGCGGGGGAGGGGAGGCTATGGGGAGGTGCATCCTCTTGCTGCTCTGGTCTGTGTGCTCATCGCTCTCGCCTGCCTCTGAGTTTTAGGTCTGATCATGTGTAATAAGGGTGAGGATGGAATGTTAGTAAATATGAACCGTAGAATTCTTTCTTTCCCCCTAGGATACATTTTTTTTTCAGTTGTACATATACATGTATCCATTCCTTCTCAAATTCTTTTCCCACCGAGGTTGTTACATAACATTGAACAGAGCTCCCTGTGCTCTACAGTAGGTCCCTGCTGGTTATCCAATTTGAACAGAGCAGTGTGTACCATAGAATTCTGTTAACAGATGGCTTGTGGGTTAGTCACTGGAACCTTGAACTTAATACATTTAAAAATAGTTTGTAAAGTTGGTATTTTCCTATGACAAACTGACTACATGTATTTCCATAATACTGAGATGGAGAACACAGGATTGATCATTTTTATGGAACGCTGGACTCCTAAACCTGGGGGTCATCAATGTAGTGCTCACTTCCATCCCTGGGGTGTGGGGGGCTACAGGAGGCTCCTCCCTCCACCCAGTCCCTGCCCTTCTGCCAGCATCCCCGAACATCCCTGAGGCCCGCAGTCCCTGCGCTCGCTTGCCCTGAGGGCGGTGAAGCAGCCGGCACCAGCTTCCTGGCTTCCAGCCTTGTTGCCCTGACTACGTGAGCAGGCTTGTTACTAGGGCAGAAGGAGGTTTCTTGCCCGGTGTCTGCTGTGACCTTGGGTGATAAGTCCAGAGGTACGATTTGGACAGTTTTGTGGAGGCCCCGCTGGGTTCCTACAGGAGGACCCCTGGCGGATGAAGGCCTGGTCTGGCTGCCCCTGGATGGAGCCTGTCACATGGTGTCTGGGTCTCAGTCTCCCCAGCTGTGGGATGGTTGTCGTGAGGACCACACACACGTGAGAGAACTTAGAAGAGGGCCCTGCTCCGGTCATGCTGGGGTGCCTGCTGCTGTTACTGCCACAGGCAGTATGACCCGAGTGACCCATCCTGCTGTGCCCCCAGAGAGAGTCAGGATATAGGGGATTAGAGAGAGCTTCTGTGATGGGTTTTGTGAGAGACAATGAAAGTCAGGATGAAGCCATGGAAATGAATATTCCTGAGCCCTGAGTCCAGACATTGTGATGCTGAGCATGTCAGCAAAGGCAGCAGCGGAGGAGAGTCCAGGGTGATCCTGTGATCTGGGGACAGAGGGAATGTGAAGAGTGAGGAGAGAATGAAGGAGAGAGAGTGGCGGTGGGGAGGCTCTGAGGAGAGAACTCAGGAGGAACCCTGAGGTTGGGCTCAGACCTGAGTTAGGGGTTTCCCTGTGGAGACATGGAGGTGGCTGGGCTGGGTCCTGCCTGGTTCAGGAGACATGGTCTGAAGCGGGAGCTGAGGGCGGGAGCTGCAGAAACCCTGTAGAGGGGCGATGCCGGGGTGTGTCCTTGGGAACCCCCTAACCACAAGGGCAGGTGCAGGAGAGCCCACAGAGAGAGACAGAAGAGCGGGGAGCCGGGAGGTAGTGAAGGTTTAGCCCCTGTTCAGCTTCCGGATCCCAGTGCTAGTATGGACCCATCATCAGCCACTAGAAACTCTCAGGAAAATCCCAGAAAATGAAGTGCTGATGGCAGCCAGGGGCCCCGCTGGAATAACAGTTCACTGTGTAACCCAAAGTGGGGTCTGGCTGCTTGCCGCTCAAAAGCCAACAAAGAGGCAAGGCTGGTGGAAAGGAAAGTTTGCTTTATTTCAGAGGCCAGCATCCTGGGGAGGGGGAGGGTGGGCTCCTGTCCAAAGGCTGACTCCCCACCAGTGACAACCAGTGGGCAAGAGCTTTTATAGACAGAGGGAGGGGGCTATGTGCAGAAACAGCACAGTCAGCTCTGACAGTCACCTTGAAATTGGTCATTGGTGGCCTGACAAGCATCTTCTTGATTGTTTTAAGGACAGTTAATCTTCAGTTCCAGGGTTGGTTGGTTCTCATTTCTTTGAGGCCAGTTCTCGGAATTGTGGCAGCTTATGTCATGGCTACAGTCTGGTCATCACGTAGTTCACTTCTTCCAACTGCTGGGGGTTTTAGTAGCTACAGGACATGGCTCAGAATATTATGTGTAGCCCTTGAGGAGCAACTAAAGGTCCTTGACTTTGCCTAATGACTAAACTATTATTGTTTAGCCTTGTTGGACTGTTTTCCTTGGTTTCTGCATTTTCTCACTTCTCTGATTAAACTTTTTGGTTAAAGTTTTTCCCCAGACAAAAGGCAGGTAGAGGACACGGTGGGAAAGGACCGTAGGGTCCTGCTCCATTTCAACTGGGCACAGAATCCATCTTCCAGGTGGGGCGGGAGGGGAAAAGGATGCAGGGATGGGAAAAACCAAGAGCCGCAGAAGTAGAAAGGGAGGAAGAGCATGTGGGCGGGGTGTAAGTGAGGTAAACAGATAGAAAAAGAGACACAGAAGGAGAGCACAGGCCCTGCCCTCCCTGCCCCATCCGCTGGGACGGCACAGCCCCAGAGATGGTGCAGGGGAGAGAGGTGCCTCCCAGATCTCAGAGCTGCCATGTCACCTCCAGCCTGCAGGCAAGACCAGGTCCAGGCCATCCCAGGCTGCACTCCCTCTTTTTGGGTGCTTTTCATCCACTCTCGACTCTCAGTGCCCTGATTCTTTTCCTTCTACCTTTGCTCGTTTGAATTCCTTTCCTGGGCCCGAAGGGCAACCCGCTCATCCTCCCCCATCAGAGAATGTTCCTCCAAAGGACGCGAGCCCCTTCCCCTACTCCTTTCTGAGCATCACAGCCCAGCATCCTGCTGCCCACCCAGACCACCCCCTCTCTCCAGGCTCCGTTAACTGCATTTGTAGGAAATGTGAGGTGTGTAAGGCCACCCTATCAGGAGATGATTGGACTGAGGAGTTTGTCAGAGCTCCCAAGAGGAGGGGCCATGCGTGAGCCCTGTGAGGAGGGAGCAGTTGGTCCTATGGAGTGTCTCCCATTGGGTGCCCATCACCCGGGGAGCAAGGCTCACAGCACCTGTGCTGTCACAGGCCGAATAGGTATGCATCACAGGAGAAGTACCAACCGTGGCATCTGGCGGCAGGGAGGTTTGGTTGGAGGATGTAGGGAAGTCTCTGAGTAAATCTGGTTAGGAGGGCACTGAATTCTTGCTCGGCTCTCCGGGCTGGCAGGGGAGGGACAGTGAACGGGAGGAACTGGGAACAGGCCTGAAGAGGGGCCAGCTCCGCACATAGGGCACTTCATCCCACAAGCCGATCCCCTGAGCCCTGGGTGACCTCATTTTGCAGAAGTTTCAGGGTCTGAGTGAGAAAAGCATCTTCCTCTCCTTCCAACCTCAGTCTGGTCCCAGCTCAGATGTAAGAAATGACATCCAGGAGCCTGCGGGCCTGGAGG